AGGTGAGAGCAAGGGTGAGAGAGTTGGTAGCGATAGTGACGCAAGATATGTTTCCTTTTGCGAATCGGAGAAATGGATTGAGATTGCGAGAGGTTGCTGGCGCGACGGAAGATGGGCAGCGAGAATTCATACAGAGAGCTCTGAACGAGGGTTTCGATGCTTATGAGACGATGGTGGGGAAGTACGGGGGGAGGTATAGTGTGGGTGATGCGGTAAGCATGGCAGATGTGTGCCTTTTACCTCAGGTGTTGCAGGCGCAGCTGTGGGGCATATATGTGTTGGGATGTGATAGATGGCCGTTGATCAAGAATGTCATAGGACAACTGGGTAGAATTGAGGCGTTTGCAAGGGAGATGGATGATATTGCTGTAGATGATGCGACAGTCGTAAAACCACTGCCTTGAAGCAGCGCTCGCAGGCAATGAGTAGCGGATATTTTTACTCGCTTGATGCAAACTATAGAACAGCAGCGCCGTAAATGCTTGGAACTGAACGCCATGCCAAATGCCAGCAGGACTAAACAGATGCACATGAACAATGCGAGAGAGAAACCCATCCAGATGATAGCACGACAGACCTTTACATGACGGTGCAATTCTCCTCCTGTTGTTTCTGGTTTGTCCGACTAAGACGTTCTCGCTTCATCTGGACTTTGCTTCCACCACGCTTGAGTTCTTCAAGTCGCTCTTGAGCTTTGGGAAATTTATACGCTATGAAAAGGTTAGTATTCTCCTTCGCAATATAACACAAAGTTTTAGGAACATACCTGCAGCCCGTCCATACCACCGTTTCGCCTCATCCAAACTCCGTGGGCAGCCTATGCCCACTTCGGTGAAGTAGCCCATGGCGAAAAGCGCTTTTGGCAGTGGTGGCTCTGCGCACGCTGCTTTCCGTGCCCAGAGATAAGCCTCAGTATCGCTTTGCTCGAGGATACCAGATGTACCCGTGAGGTACCAGCCCGAAAGTGCGAGTTCACTCTGATGTTCTTCCTGAGCAGCTGCTTTAGTGTACCAAGCTATGCTCGTGCGCGCGTCAATAGGGCAGCCCAGAAGTCCGTATTCATAGGCTTGTCCGAGACGAAATTGAGAAAACTTGTAGCCGAGATCAGCTGCTTGGTGGAAGAGCGATAATGCATATGCCTCGTCGCGTATGACGCGTTCATTGCCGGTTTGCGCTTCGTAGATGAGTGCCAATTCGTGGAGCGCGTGAGGATTGTCTCGATCTGCTCGATCGGCGGCTCGCTTGAGCATGTTGATGGCTTCGCCGAAGTTCTTCTGTTGGCCGAGGAGCCCCTTGAGGAGAATCATGCCCATCTTATACATCGCAGGTGTGTCTCCTAATGCAGCAGCACGTCGATACCACTGTACGGCTTTGAGGGGATCCTTCTTGGTGCCACCGCCTTCCTCATGGCCCATCTCGCAGCAAACGGCTGTTCGATAAGCACTTGCAGCATGGCCACCCTTTGCAGCAGATTGATAGAGCGTGAACGCTTCTTTCGTATCTACTTGCAGGCCAAGCAATCCTTGCCCGTAGCAATCGGCGAGATAGAACATGGCGTCTGGGGAACCGTTGCTGACTAGCTTCTTGATGATCTTGTGAGCCTCGAGGATAAACTTCTCGCGATTTTTGTTTTTTGTCCTAGAGTCAGCTGTGCCTCCTTCGTCGATAAGTACACTCGATGCTTCTACAAGCTTTTTCGATAGTTTCAGACCCGTAACAACATCGGCCGGATTTTGCTTAAAAGTGTTGCGCAATCTATTGAGCTCATCGTAGGTAACAGGGTGTGACACTGCACCTTGTCCACTGTGACGCTGTGTGGATGGGTTGCTTTCGTAGCTGGCACGCCCAGGTTCACTGTTGTATTGTCTGACGGGTGGTGGCCTTGCATTTTGAGGTGCTTGGGGCTGCGGTACCTGTGGCTGTTGTTGCATGAGGCCTTGTCGTACAGGCATTGGATGCGCCGGTAGTGCATCTGGGTTCGACTGCGGTTGAGTAGTACCAGGTCTTCTGCCCATTGGGTCGCTCGGATTGCGACTTGGTGCGGGTGCAGCTGTTCCTGGTCGTTGGATAGAGTTTCCGGGTGCGGGCGACGCGAAGTTCCTCATTGTGTTCGGAGGTGGTTCTGAGTAGGTAGTGTCGTCTGAGTAGACCCTCTGGGGCCCAGGTGGAGGACGCCCATATCTTGAGTCCATGTTGGGCGGTTGGCCATGCATTGGACCTTGATGAGGTGGTCCGCCCTGCATGCCACCAGGCGCCATGCCCCTCTGAGGCGGTTGTCGTCCTCGAACGCCATTTGGCATACCATTGGGTCCTCCAAAGCCGGTGTTTGCTCTTGGCACACCTGGCATTGGCGGGGCATCTGCAGCCATTTCGTGTACACCATTCGCATACTGCCCGTTGAGATCAGGTTGTGACCGGCTTCGCTGCATCTGCCCCTGGGGGTTATTATGCCCCATATCTTGAGAAGCAGCTGGCGGAGCGTAAGCGCTCAGATCATGGGACGGTGATAAGTGGTTGTCAATTGAATCGCCTCTCCGATGCCTGTTGTTGGTCTCCGGGATAGCATCAAAATTGGGCATATCTATCGCTGAGTCTTCCTGTCCATAATAGTCATCGTAAAAGTTGTCTAGCCCTTGTTCTTCGCTGTGAGCCTGTTGCTGCTGGTTCGGGGCTTGGGGCTGGTATTGCGGCTGTGGCTGCTGTTGTGGCACCTGAGGCATAGGAGGTCTTTGCCCATGCTGCATTGGAGGTCCGTTTTGTTTCACACCACCAGCAGTTGAAGGCCTGGGAGGGATGTAATCTGGTGATACAGGCCCATAGTAGCCGGACACAGCACCAGGCTCGGCAAATTCTTGCTGACCATTGTAGCCGGTCCCTTGGCCTCCACTTGGTGTTGTATGAGGCATCGTTGCAGATCGCTGTGTATTTGGGCCGAAAGCTCGCCTCGAAGGCGACATGGGATCCGATGTGCGATGTGGTTGTTGTCCTCTACCAGCATCGACATTCATGGGTGGTGGTCGCTGTCCAGATGGCATCCGGTTAGGGACAGGGCGTTGGCCCTGGCCCTCAAAATGCCCTGAGTCCTGCCGGGGATTAGGCATCGACCTCGGCTGTGGTGGGCCTCGATTCTGAGGCGGCATGTGTTGTCCTCGCCCAGATGAGCCCGCAGGCTTCGCTTGTCCTCCGCTATCCTTGATGTTCATTTGTGCCATGCTCTGGTCGAGAGGTTTCGAGCCACCTTGCTGCGACTTCTGCGTTGGGAAAGTCGGAAAGGGGTTGTCATAAGCAAGAGTCTTGGGTGATGTTGGTTGAAAGAGTGAACGATCCAGGCCTGTTGACAGTAATTAGTACGCGATGTTGTCATGTAGACGTGTAACATGCCGTCCTCGCCACATGGAAAGATCAGGACTTGGGGACATACCTGGTGGTCTCGACGCACTACGTCCTTGTTGTGGGTTGGACGGCGGTTCATTTCCTCGACCTGTTGGTCGGCTTCGCGAATCCTGTCGCTGCTGCGGAGGACGCTGGCTCTGAGGCGGTGGTCTTCGTCCTTGACCTTGTTGGGATGGTGGTTGCTGATAGTAGGGCTCATTGTACGCTTCTTCCTGGTAATACTGGTCTTGCGGCGGGTGTCTGCGGCCCTGATTTGGCTGTGCTGATCTCGAGTACCCATTCACATCTTTGTAGCCACCTTGCTGCTGCGCATTGCCCCACCCTCCTTGCTGCTGGTCATAATGGCCATTATTCCATTGCTCATTGCCGCCCTGGTCATAGCCGTAGTCGTAGTCGTAGTATTGTTGCTGGTCATAGTGGTTGTCATAATTCTGGTATTGCTGCTGCTGTCTTTGCTGTGGTCTTCCTTGGTCGTAATATTGCTGCTGCGGCTGCGCGTAATTGTCGTGTTGTTGTCGATGCGCCATGACGGCGGCGTTATCGGAGAAGCCTAACCCGAGGCTGTCTGTGAAGAGGCTAGTGAGCGATGGTGATCGCGTCCGACCGGCGGGGCTGCAGCTCTTAAAGGCACCTGGGGGGCAGTCTCTCTAGAGCCGGAGCTCGTTAGGCTTGTACGTAGCGTAAGCTGGTAGTCGACGTGGGCTTGCCGTTGGCCGAGCTGGCTGTGAACCGGGCTGCGTGTTGCTTGCAAAGTTGACAGGGGTGGTACAAACTCAAAGAACGGTCATATGGCCACCAAGAACCAGGAAGACCTTACGAAGGTGAAAGTCGAGGTGTTGAAGGAAGAATGTCAATAGTAGAACCCTCACTTGCACATGCTGTACAAAGCAACGCCAATTGGGGGCTGCCGCTGCCGTCCTCAAACACGGGGTGACCTCTAATTAGTTCGATCTTGCGTTTCAACCACCCAGCGCTGGTGCAACCCAGGAAATGAATAAGAAAAGGTCCCGCTTTAGCTTCCTTCGGCTTTGAAACGCGAATCCAGGACGACTGGGATTCCCGAGCAGGCGAATCGTCGTTGTTAAATTGCATTCGCATGCGAGTAGATTAAATGAGGCATTTGCGAATGACACCTGAGTAACACCGTCAGCTAGAGTGACAGGGAAATCGACGTGATGATCAGTATCAGCCCTGCGCAAAACAACCCAATTAGTCTGTGTCACGCAGTCCCTATACGGACCAAGTCGCAGAGCCGCTGGAGATCATACACATCATGCAGTCCAAGAACAGCCTACCAATGAACGCGCAGACGACGATGCTGATCGCTGGCCCTCAGCCTCGGGTAAGCGTTCGCCGCCTGCAAGCACTTGAGACCCACTGCCGGATGATGCAGCCACAGTGGCGGTGCAAGCACACGTGATCCTCGGCGCGTCGAGCTAGCTTCATTCGATGAACAATCCATGGCACTTGTGTGGATCGTCGACTTCACCACTCTAGCTGCACAAGACTCCACCAACAACCCCGATACTCTGATACAAAGGCCACAACTACAACGGGAACTTATAAGACACCTTCAGAGAGATTCTGAACATCACCAAGAAGTCATCATGCCTTCTATGTCAACCTATATCAAAGCCATCTCCGGGTATGTTTGCCTTACGAAGGCGTACGGGAGTGTGCTAATGTTAAACTTAGAGGCGCAATCCTTGTCATAGGGGGCCCTGCGCTCGTATGGTATGTTACACCAACCGAGGAAGAAATCTTCAAGGTATGTATACTTTCCCACGTGCATACGCCAAATAGCTGCTTATATCCCGTGTAGAGGTATAGTCCGGAGCTGCAGAAGAAGGCTCTTGCAGGAAGGGAGCAGAGACAGAAGGACTTTGACGCATTTGTCGGTCAATTGAAGGAGGCTTCGCGTTCAGACAAACCAAGTCAGTATTTCTTCTGCAGTCATCACCAGGATCGCACTAACGGAATTAGTCTGGGCTGCACAGAAGGAAATGGATGCGAAGAGGTCAGAGGCGGAACAGCAGCTCCGCAGAGAGGAACGGGACGCATATGCTGCTGAAAGCCGGAGAAGGCAAGCAGAGATCAGAGAGAGCGCGAAGTAGCCGGCCAACGCCAGACGACTTTCATTTCGCCATTGTATATTTATCTGTATCACGAATCTACGCTTCCAAACAAGGTCTGGGATTCACTGAAATCCGAGACAGGCTAAGACATCAATGTTTTGTTTTCGGGATATTAGTGGTGAAATATGTTGTTTATGGAGTGACGTTACGTGATGGAATTTCAGGTGCTATAGCGAGGCGTCGATCTCGTGACCTGGAGTGGGTTTCGCGAAGCTTGGAACGCGCATCTACCCCAAACCTCCCATCTCGCCCCACCACGACCGTCGGAGCAAGACCCAATGCCCAGCGATGCGCAAGCCCCCGTGAAGCTCTCGTTGCCTCTCGTACGCTCAACCTATAACATTTGCGTACAGCGTGCTGATGACATCATAGGAGTTCCAACAGGACATCTTCAACGAACTGCGCGAGGAAGATGAGCTCGTCCTCCTTGCGCGCGGCCTCGGCCTCTTGCGCATAGTCACGAACCTTCTCCACTCTTACGATGCCGCCGGAAACAACCTGATACTACTCGTTGGCGCCGACGATCGCGAGAATGTGTGGATTGGCGAGGCGTTGGCCGAGCATGCGGCAGTCAGTAATGCGCCCAAGTGTCGTGGGCTGAGTCTAGTCAATACCGATCTGATGAGCGTTGGAACGCGCGAGAAGATGTATGCGCAGGGCGGGATATTCAGTATAACGTCACGCATCCTCATTGTAGACTTCCTGTCTGGACTGCTGAATCCAGAGACGGTGACGGGCGTGGTGGTACTACATGCTGAAAGAGTTGTTGCGACATCTCTGGAAGCCTTCATTCTGAGAATTTATCGGCAGAAGAACAAGGCAGGCTTCTTGAAAGCATTCTCGGATACGCCGGAGCCCTTCACTACTGGATTCGCTCCGCTCACCAATAAGATGAAGAACCTGTTCTTGACGAAACCAGCACTATACCCCAGATTCCACGTTGCAGTCGCAAACTCGCTCGAAGGACGTAAGAAAGCTGAAGTTATTGAGCTGGAAGTGCCCATGACGGAAGCTATGCAGGACATACAGAACGCGGTACTAGCCTGCGTTGAGGCCAGTATCAGCGAGCTCAAGAAAGCGAACCCAGGCTTGGAAGTGGAAGACTGGAACGTAGACAGTGCCTTACACAAGAACTTCGATCAGATTATCCGACGTCAACTAGATCCTGTCTGGCATCGCACAACGTACAAGACGCGACAGGTCGTCCGAGATTTGTCGCTGCTTCGTACCATTCTGCACGCGCTTCTTACGTATGATGCGGTAAATTTCAACAAGTATCTCGACACTGTTCTGGCAGCCTCGCAGCCACCACCGGGATCAACGAGGCAAAATCAATCTCCATGGCTTTTCCTAGATGCAGCTGACACCATCTTCACCACCGCAAAGCGAAGGGTATACACAGGCAAGGTGTCCAATACTGAGTTAGCCAATGCTTCGACTACTGTACCAGAGTCTCTCCAGCCAGTGCTCGAAGAATTTCCCAAGTGGACGCAGCTCGCAGAAATCCTTCAGGAGATTGAACAGGATGCTTATTTTAACCCGACGCCGCAAGACTCATCCAACGGCTCTATACTCATCATGTGCGGCGACCAGGGCACAGCATCACAGCTAAGAGAGTATCTGCAGACCATGTACGTTAAGCCAGAGGGTTCACCAGACGAGGACGAGAACGAATACGAGCCATCGGCGAACTTTATGATGCGGCGTAAGCTACGCAACTACCTTACTTGGAAACGCGATTTCAGTAAAGTCAGTGCCGCGTTGTTCTCGGAGAACCAGAAAGCCATCAACGGCAGTACAGATAAGAATGTTCAGAGCGGCATGCGCCAGACTTCCGGTAAACCTCCGCCAAACAAGCGGCGCCGCATCAGAGGCGGTGGAAATGCTGCAGCAGGACCATCGAGATCCGATACGGGAGCCATCCGTACTGCGGGAGATAAAGACGCCCACATTGCTAGTCTAATGGCTGAATTGGAACCCTCTGAGATTGAAACAGCACAAAAGCCTGGGGAAGTAGGTTTCGACCCCCTGGACAACATGGAAACCTACTATGAACTCTTTGATGTGAACGACCTGATTATCGTACATCCTTACTCTGGGGATCTGGATGAACACATTTTGGACGAGACGAAGCCGCGATATGTCATCATGTATGAGCCCGACGCAGCATTTATCCGACGCATAGAGGTATATCGGTCATCGCATACAGACCGAACGGTAAAAGTCTTTTTCATGTACTATGGGGGCAGTGTAGAAGAACAACGCTATCTCTCTGCCGTCCGTCGCGAGAAAGACGCCTTTACGCGGCTGATCAAAGAACGTGCAAACATGGCTTTAACAATGAACTCGACTGCGAACCTCGCTCCAGAAGAGTCCTTCCTCCGCACGATCAACACCAGGATAGCAGGAGGAGGCCGTCTCGCCGCAACCACCGAACCTCCCCGTGTCGTCGTCGACGTGCGAGAATTCCGGTCCTCACTCCCGTCTCTGCTACACGGCCGATCTATTGTCATCGTGCCCTGCATGTTAACAGTAGGCGACTACGTCCTCACACCCCAAATCTGCATCGAGCGGAAATCCATCCGCGATCTCATCCAATCGTTTGCCAACGGCCGTCTCTTCAACCAAGTGGAGTCCATGATGGAACACTACAAACACCCCATGCTGCTCATCGAGTTTGACCAAAACAAGTCTTTTACCCTCGAACCTTTTACTGATTTCTCTGCTGGTAGCGCTGCTTCTGCCAACGCGTCGGCGACGACACCCGATCTCCAATCCAAACTCGTCATGTTAACGCTCGCCTTCCCCCGCTTGAGGATAATATGGAGTAGCAGCCCTTACCAGACGGCCGAGATCTTCTCTGAGCTGAAGAAGGCGCAAGATGAACCTGATCCATTAAAGGCTGTGCAATTGGGTCTTGATCCGAATCAAAGTGGAGACGAGATGCGCAGCTTTAACCAGACGAGTCAGGATATGTTGAGGGCGCTGCCAGGGATTAACGAGAATGCTGTTTCGCAACTGATGCTTAAGAGTGAGAGTATTTATGAGGTGGCAAATATGCAAGAGAGGGAAATTTGTTGGTTGGTCGGGACGGACGTTGGGAGGAGGATCCATAGGTTCTTGAATCGCTCCGTGTATGAAGAAGTTCAGTGGCAGAACTTTAGTTAGCTTGTCGGGTAGTATAGACTCTGGGACGAAGATGTTGGTAAATAGAATTTTGGACAAAGATTATGGATGTATCATTCCTCTATCCCATGATGCATGTAAAAAGGTACCCAGTACCCATAATCGTGGAAAAGGAAACGTGCCAAATGCACTCGTCGTTAACGTCATACTCGAAGAAGCATGAAATCGTGTATTCCTCGGCACCACTCGAACCATCCGCCCGCTCGCAAGAAGCAGCATTTGAGCAGCCCGGCCCCCACCACAGCAAAGCAGCAGCCGCGAAGCAAGAGCCGAGACAGCATGGCGGATCTCAACCCCTCCCCCTCAAATGTCGTCAATGTCAATCTCCTTCTTGCCGGTACCGTCGGCCTCGTCCGAGTCGCTGTCATCGCGATCCTCGTCGAACTCGAAACCGATACCCTCGTCGCCTTGGTCGCCGTAGGTGTCTGTCTCGTTGATCTTTGCGTTTTCCGGGAGCTCGCCGTAGGCTTTTAATGAACGGGCTTCGTCGGCTGTGCGCGTGTTAGTAGCCGTATCTCGCAGTGTTTGCTGCGTGTGTAGTATGCGACTTACCAGAGTACTTCATGATCACATCACCCTTCTCGTCTTGGTAGTCTCGCAGCGACAGGAGAATGATGTCACCCTGGTTGATCCAGACCTTCTTCCTCAGCTTGCCGCGGATATGGGCGAGACGACGGGCGCCGTCGAAGCACTGGGCTTCTAGACGACCGTTTCCAAGCATCTTGACGACTTGGGCGTATTCTTGGCCTTCCTCCTTGAAGACGAGTTCGCGCTTTTCGTTGTCGTTCTCGTTCTTACCCCTACGTCGGTTTTTACCTCCCTGAGATATACGTTAGCGCGTGTTGAGGTTTGGGCGTCATCGCGGTGAGAGTCGTGGTGGGGTGTGTCGCCCCCCTCCAAATAGAGTGTTGACGTACCTTTCCCTTGTTCTTAGGCATTTTGGCGGTAGTCGAAGTTTGGTGGTGTGTTGGTGGAGGAGTGGGTTGTGATTGCGGTAGGAGCTTCGCAGGGCGCAAGTCTTTATGTAGTGGCGGACCCGGTTGTTTGCACAGGTGGATTCCGACTCACTGTGGGAGCCTTCGACATTAAGCGCTAACAGCGCACCCTAGCCCCGGTTTGGCCTAGCACGTCGTCGCTCACCCGAATTAATCCATCTGCGGTTCGAGTGCTTCCAATTTCACCCCCACCTGTCTTTCTTTCACTCTACGTCACCGTGCATACGAGGCATGGGAAAGCCATGAGTGTCTTGTCACACGTCGCCAAGCAGCCGCCCAAGACGTTCAGAGTCTACTACACCACAGTGTACAAAAGCCTCTTCACCAACCACGTTGCAACCGACCCCGCGCATCCCCTCTACGAGACGCAGCGCCGCAGACAAGCCGAGAAGAAGAAGGAGGGACTATGGTGGCATGCCACAGCGGGCGCTGACTCGGCCAAGTCTAGTTGTATAAGAACATGGGCTAGACGGCGGCTACGCAATGCTGTAGTCGACGAACTCAAGGCCCGCGGATACGACGAGACTGGCAAGTTCGCCAAACCCAAGCATGTGCCGCAACGGGCAGATTTGATGGCCAGGGTAGGCGCAGGTCGGACACTAGATCTGAAGGGAAGCTTGAGATTACATGTGCAACCCCCTCTGATCCCTGCCAAATACGTAGACATACGTGCAGAGGCTGGGGCTCTCATTGATGCTCTCGAATCTGCTACGAATCGGCCATTTCACAACCCACCTGCTGCAACCAAAGACGCGCCACGCGAGTATGCATCAGAGAGGTCAACCAAAAATCGGTCATTCTACAATCCACTTGCTGCATCTGCACAGCCATCTCCGCATCGGACACAAAGACCCGTCGTGAAGTCACGCCAGAGGTGACGACTGGTTCTGCACTCCGACTGAACTTGTAGGGTACAGCTAGCATCCGTAGTCTGTCGCATTGATCGGTAAGGGTCGGGATACTCTTGCGAATCAACGATGCCTTGGCGTATGTAGTCATGTATCGTTCCTCGCCATCCCAACCTCCACATGGGCTTGCATTAGTATCGTGTGCGTTGAGAAAAAAAGGAGGTCAAGCGTCTGACGGATACACAGCGCGCAGATTCATAAAGACTCCTTGCACATTGACCTAATTCAGCTTGATATCTGTCCGACATTACCCCTCCTCTAAACCTGTCTCTCACAACGGTTTCGGTACAAAGTCCCGAAACACACCTTCCATAGTAGATACTTGATTCCCCTTTCTGGTAGTTAGCAGTCCTTCGTGGATTGCAGCGGAGTCTCCACCGGGCCAATGGTTACTAGTCGTCGGCTTCTCTCTGGCTCCTGTTCTGTGTAATTGGGTATCTTGGGTCTGCTAATGAGTTGTTTTCGATATGGACGATCAAAATCCAGCATGCCTGCTCGTATACCTAGATCATTTCTAAACACAGCCATCCAGAAACAATATGATCTTTGGTAGACAATTCGACTGAATAGACACTAGAAGAAGCTACTCGTGGCAAGCATGAATATGAAGTACACAATACATGCTGCTGTGAAGTAGCCGAGTCAACCAATGAGCTAGCTTCGGCGTCGAATGCGGGTCAGCCTCCGCCCACAAAGGATTGGTTGATCGATTGCATGACCCACCATCGATGACAGCACATCTGTCCTACGTCCAAAGTACATATCCAGGGCAAGTGTATATCAAGTTCGGGTATCCAAATCAAACTCTGTTTCCAAACTGGGTCCACCATCTGGGCAGCGTCGTAACATTGACAAAGAATCATTCCCCTCACCAGTCACGCATCATGGATTCCGAAAATAACGAGTTCCAGCTCTTCACATCCTTGCGATATGATCCGTTGCTTCTCAGATCGGACGAGAACTCAAGGACGATCTTGAACTTCGTAACACCTTCGCCTTTTTATATGCTTGCGTACCATCGAGATCGCATGGTTGAAGCCGCCCAGCACTTTGATTTCTTCGAGGTCGAAAAACGACTTAAAGATGGGAAAGCTTTACACGATGAATTATCCAGACAGGTACAAGAAGAGATCAGGAAGACAGGAAAGGATGAAGCGATGAAGGTATGGAAAGCACCAAGACATTATGCGATAGGACTAAGATTATGTAGCTTCGACTTCTGTTCGATAAAGCCGCCAACCTGACTGTGGAGTTCACTCCCATACCCGCTGTACCACTCTCCACACTATACCCCCCATCATTAGATCCACCAAAATCAGGAACCCAACAACACCCTGCCGACAACTTTAAGCCCTCTCCCTTGACAGGCGGCGCCCTCAATCTCGGACCCTCAGACACCCTTTCAGCTGCCACATCAACACCACCTGCTCCACCAGAATGGAAGATCAAACTGGACACCGAGCCAACACCTTCCTCACCGTTCACATTATTGAAGACTACAAAGCGCGAAATGTACGATCAATCTCGTCAACGCGCCTTACCTGACAACCCCGCCGGCCCGGCCTATCGCGAAGTAATGCTCTACAACGAAGTCAACGAACTTACAGAAGGCACACTGACATCTCTCTACCTCTTCCGTGGCGGACGGTGGGTGACACCACCCGTTGGCGTGCCATCTGGCGAGTTCACGAGTAAGACCTTGAAGAGTGACGGGGCTGATGAGGGGGAGTTGAGGAAGCCATTTGCGGGGCGCTGGGGGCATAGTACGAGGAGTGCGAAAGTCGGGGCGGGTGGGCAGAGGGGAACGAGTCGAAGGTGGGCGTTAGGAAGTGGGTATTGTATGGAGGAGCCGGTGGGGATTGAAACAGTCGAGGTTGGGGAGGGAGTGTGGGTTAGTAATGGGGTTAGGGGCTTTGGTTTTGGAAGGGTCGTTGGGTAGAGCTGCGTTGGTCGCTTTGGTGTATTAGCTGCGCGTTATAGGGCGGGTCTGAAAATGGAGTGGCAACATAAAGAAAAGCCAACCTTGGGTCATTGATCCACTTCATCCACTGGTAGTACGATGACGCAAAGCAGACGAGCCAGTCACATTGCTCGCAACTTGAAGTTTTGGCGCAAAAACTACACCCTCAAATAAAACTCATTGCGAACATAAGTAGCTTGGACCATCAGTCTATGCTGTCCAAACCATGGGACGAATATGGCCAGGAGATACAAAACGTCTCTAAGCCATGTCCTCTTACACCTTCAAGTCGCTGCAAGTACCTGCAACAATTTTTGAGAATATTCAACGACGTACTTTTGCACAACTATTCAAAATGGCACCACTCTGCAACACGCGCGAAACTTTCAGTAAGAATCACCTCTATACCAGAAAACCTCGCCTTTACACATCCAAAGACGAACCCCTTCCATCTTGCTCGATCTGTACAGAGCCCTGTACCCTGGCTTCCATGGGATCAGCACACCACGCTCTACAGATGCCATTGTGCTCTCACGTCTTCGGCGCATCCTGCATCGAATCTTGGTTCGACAGAGCAAGTACCTGCCCACTATGCCGCAAAGACTTCTTCCCCACGAAGCCAGAAGAGATATCGAAGGAGCTTCAAGAACTTCCGGATCTCTTTGTTCAGATGTTCACGTTGCTGAATGAGGTGAAGAAAAGGTATCCACAAGGAAGAACGGCGGTAGCAGGCATGGAAAACATGATAGCAGATCTGGGAGAGAAAGTTGTGAGAGATACTGAGGAGAGGAAGAAGAGGAAGGAAGAAAGGGAAATAGCAGTATGGACAGAGGTGGGGCGGCGAGATATTGCTTATTTGGAAAGATGGAGACGGCAGGTCATGCTAGAATCTTCCGAAGAAAGATGAACTCCCCTACGAGCTTTGGATATTGCCTCCGTCAGGCAAGAGGTTACCGTCTTTCTTCCTTACGACTTTCTTCCGGATATGGCAGTGCACGGTGATGCTGGAATGATCTATTCAGATATGATTCGCCATACCCGATTACTCAATACACAAAGTCTGATAGAGCGAGTTGGGAGACTGGGCTTATCGGAGGCTGCTGAGGATGTAAGAAGAAAATTGGTGAGCGTTGTTGACACTTTCATCACCACAAGGAAAGGCCGGGGCTGGTGGACGCATAGTTGTAAATTGCGTAGCTATATGCACATGAAGAGGTGCTTACTGAAATTTTATTCATACCTTTGTGAGGGCTGCAATCAAACTATAAATGTAAAATGAAACCAATTTCCTGATATTGGTGGTGGTAACATGACTCTGATTGCGGCTTTGTAAGCTCTGACAGTTGACCAACAAAAACAAAACATTCATAAAGTCGTCGTATCGTGTGTTCCTAGCTCTCTTCCATCTGGCTTGTACTGAACATTCTCTCTACACCCTGTTCTTCTCTCCTTCTGTAGCGCGTAATCCGGCGATCGCAAAATCCGTACTTTTGAACTTCCGTGCGCATACCCTCTTCTCAAACAGCTCATCGAGCTCTCCAAAAGTCCGACCCTTGGGTTCAGGAAGCCGCCACCAGCTCCACAAGATACCAAGTACGCTTGTGCCTGCCCAGAAGAAGCCGGCTTTGGCGCCCCAGCCCCACGCTGTCGGATTCAACATGCGTGGAGTGATGATGTTCGTGATGATACCAGAGATGTTGTAGCAGTTTCGCGCTAGGACGATTGTTTTGCTCCTGAGTCGTGTAGACGGGATCTCAGAAACGAGTGAGTAGCAGATAGGGCCGAGAGTCGCGTCGTATGCCAGTGTGAAGGCCAGTAATAGCGCTGCGATGGTCCAGTTTAGCGGCGAAGGATGAGGGTCAATGATCTCCGAGGGATTCTTTTTCGTTTTTGAGTGGGCGGCGACAAAGTCGTTCACGCAGGATAGGACACCAATGAGCAGCACGAAGATGAATGTTATCGCTTGACCGGATAGATATAGTGTACGCCGCCCGAAGTGTGCCATTAGTGCCCAGGAAATAAAAACGCCAATGAGGCCGAGAGCGAATTGGCCCAGTGAGAGAGTGAAAGCGTGGGTGGAGCCAAGGCCAGCTTGTTCGTCTAAGAATAGTCAGCATACAGAAGCCGGGTAGTGTTGTACATAGGTTGAGTGCCTTACAGAAGTACGTGGAAAACCCCATGAATGTACCACCACAAAGTGTCTGGATGATCCAGACCATGCACGTTATCTCGGTCCTACGCTTATCCACCCCTTTCAAGCAGTCTTTGTAACTTGTGCCACTTTGCATCTGTTCTTCTCTCTTGTTTGTCTGTATCATCGTCTCCATGGTGCCGGTTAGTGTTGTCTCAAACTCGTCGTCCGAGCTCGTTGCTGGTTTTGTGCGCAGTCGGCGCAGAGTCGCTCTCGCATCTTCAAGGCGATTTTGACGGATGAGCCACCAAGGCGATTCAGGCGCAGAGTAGACGGCGAAGAATATTGGGATTGGAAATATCCACTGGAGACCGAAGGGTATGCGGTAAGACCAGGTTGTAGTGTTGTCAATCATGCCGCGCATAACGACTGACGCTATCAGTTGGCCGAGTACCCAGCATGCGTTGACATAACTTGAAGTTGTTAGCGACACCGAATTCTCATGGTCGTCAAATCTCGAAAGGTGGGGTCCAGCTGATACTCACGTTGTCAGATAAGCCCTCAAGGCCACTGGGCAGACATCTGCAGCATATGCAGTACATATGCACTGAAACATACCCCAGGGCATGCCTAGTAGACACTGTCCTATCAATAGAACCTCCTTACTTATGGCGAAGAAAGGTACAAGTATAAACAGGCTCATCGCCACCAATCCTACCATGAGCGTGTAGCGGTACCCGATACGCTCTGCTAGTGTTCCTGTAGCAAAGAGCCCTACAATCTGCCCCGCCAAGCCACCATTCACGAGTGCGCTTTGCCAGTCAGCGCTGATTTCGTACTGTCCATTCGCCTGCAAACCACCGAACTGTTTCCTAAACGCTTGCATCGAGAATAGATTCGGGACGAGGATGGTCGAAAAGCCCTCCATAATAAGCGTCATCGATAGTAGCACTGACCATGTTATGGCTTTGGGGTAGAGGTGTATGCCTTCGCGGAGCGTCATAGAGCGCTCCGTTTCGTTGTTAGTCTCGATTATAGTATTCGACCTCTCTAGCATCAGGTCTGCGACCTCCAGTCTCGATATCGCTGGTTGGGGGATCGGACTTTCCGCTCTGCTGGGGAAACCTAGTGGATCTGAGTGTCCTCGCCACATCAGCTGCTGATCAAAATCGGCGACACCATGTCGCTTCCGATCCATGGCCGATACCATGATACCGTCGTCTGAGGTTGTCTTAGTTGGAGGCTCAAGCAACGGTGCGACTTGACGGAGACCGGAAGTGGGGGAGGAAGTGTAAGTCAGTCAAAAAAGAGACATGCAGACTGTCATACCCCCAGTTATATTGTACACGCGGGGATGCAAAGATAGGTAGACCGTGGGGTCACGAGGCATTGTGACGCAGGTTGACGACCTGGGTAGGGAGCGGAGAGCATGACATCCTCATGACCTCAGATGAGCGAGCCATTTTAAGCAGAACCCCATAATGGGTACCTCTAGTGGACATTTGCGATACGCAACGGGATGGGATACTACAAAGAGTCAAGTAAGCGAATGATGAGTCGTCCGACTAAGGTGTTAGCCGATCAAAAAGAGAGCCGGTCTAGTCTTGAAGACATTGTGATTTGAAGATTACTTGGCAGTTCGACGCATAACCAGTTGCCAATAGTCAAGTGATGCCAATGCAGGTTGATTCCAAGGCAGATTCAAGCTTTACGATCGCCCGTTGCGGGCCGGACGGGAACACGCGAGTGGCGTACCATTGTTGGTAAAGCCAGAGAACGGTAGACTCCACAGTATGACCCATCCCTCTATCGTCCATTCCAAGTGCTCGGAGCGACAAGCAAGTTTGTTGGAACCGCCTGGTACATCTCGCATTCGGACCCAGTAAATACGGTCAATGCTGCCTGCCAATGTCTGGATCACGTTAGCATATTATCTCGATGTGATGCATGATGTTACATCGCGTAATTGATCAGAAAGGACCCCTTGGGAGACATCACAATCAATCTGCCCGCGGAACGCTATCAATAGGCTGCAGGTGATATCGACATAGGTACATTGGTATCGTGCAACTACTTCTTCAACAGAATTTCAAGTTTTCGACCTGCTTCACTGCTTGGCCGCAGCAGCAGCAGCTTCCTTCTCTTTCTTCTTGCGCTCAACCTCAGCCATCTTAGCCGCCTTCTTCATGGCGTTCTTGGTCATGGGCTTTCCGTCGGCGTCAAGCATAGGTCCCCCACTCTCAGTATCTTGGGCCGGCTGTTCGAGCTTGGGCTTAGTGGGGTTGGGGTTACCCTTCCACTCCAGCTTCCGTGGACGAAGGAATTCGTCTAGCACCTCGTCTGTGACCTTTGCTCTTGCTTCTTGGAACTGCTTGACGTATGTAGTCATGATGTCTACGCATTCCTTCTTCATCTCGCCGGTCAACACCTCGCCTTTACGATAATCCTCACCTAGCTTTGTGAGTTTGGCGTCATCGTCTTCAAAGTAAGAAATGTATTGATAGGGCACGTCAATGTCAGGGTTTCCACCCTTCTCGCGGTGAAGTTCTAGCGTCTCTTGGCCGCCAGAAAAGGCCTTGGTATTGATCTTTGTCTTGATCTGCTTTGGCGTATCGCTCATGTATATAGCAGAGTTGGCATCAGATGCACTCATCTTGCCACCAGCACCTTGCAACGAAGTGAGAAACTTGGAGTGAATGAGGGCTGGTTTTGGCGAGGGGAGGTCCATCCTGTTGCAGTTCTCACGAACCAAGCGGAAGTAGGGATCTTGGTCGATGGCACAGGGGATCAGGCAGGGCAAGGCAGCAAGTTTTTTGGAGCGTTTGTAGGTCTTGTAATCCTCGCCCCAGATGAAGGGATACGAAGAAGCAAAGGCGGCAACACATTGCTTGGCTGCGAATGCGTTGCTACCAATGTTGGTTGAGCCATCAAAACCGAAGGCGCCCCGGACTTGATTGTTGGTAACCAGCTTTTCGAACTCGGTAGCGTTGAGACTGAAATGTCGGTTGTAGCCGGACGAGAAGAACTCGGAATCGATGTACATGAAGGTCTTCTTGGGGTCGAAACCAATGGCGATGATGTCCTTGGCGTTCTGCCGCGAGAACTCGTAGACTTGCTCCTGCTTCAGTTTCTGCTTGAACAAGAACTTCTCGTCGTCGGTCAACATGATGACCAGCGGGACGTCGAAGACATCTTGCAGCCACTTTGTGAACTCAAAGGGAATCGTGTGGCCAATGTGCATAGCGTCGCTGCTGGGGCCGCGACCAGTGTACAGGAGGAAGTCGTCGCCGCGCTCGTATGTATCCAGAATGAGCTCGAGGTCGCGGTGTGAGAAGAAAAGGCCTCGCCGTAACCAGCGATGTGGCTTGTGGCCTGTGATGCGTTCGAAGCGCTCGAGCAGTGGTTCGTCTATGAGCTTTGTGGCCCACTGCTTCGAGATGGCGACATAGTCGAATTCCTTCTCGTTTCCCTCCTCGTCGACTCCTGCTGATACATCCCAAGGGTCGATTTTCTGCTCTGTTGCTTTGGAGACGGGCTGTGTCGCTGTGTCGGCGAGGGAAAGGGCGGCGACGGCCGGTGGCTCTGGCTCAGTCATTGTGCGCGATTATGGGATGATTCCAATCGGGCCAAAGAATCAGGGAGAGGTGTGGGCTGCGGTCCTTTGGTGTTGTCGTTGACTCACTCACTCACTCACTCACTATTCGACAATTGAGGACCCCACTCTCGTTTGGCGTTCCTGCCTAGACCTAGGGCTGCCCCGCACCGCGCCACATGCACGCGCCACGGCTCAGCCACGCCGGCGTTGGCGGGAAGAGGTGCCGACACATGTCAGCAAAACTCGTCATGGCACCATGGTCGTGAGAGCTCCAGACGTTTCTATCCGGCATCCTCACACCACCGACACCGACGTACCGCCTTACCCCACCTCAACGCGACTCTCCAGCCCGTCCAATTGTCACATCACAGTCGGATGCGCTTGACGATGCGACTTCACCATCCAAGATAGAAGACCGCGCGTTACAGGCTGCCTTGAGCTCCTACCTACTACCATCTTACTTCCATCCACCGCCCACCGTCTGTCCGACCCCTACGACGCCAACATGGTCAAGTTCTACTCTTCCAACGAGACGTACTCGTACCCTTTCCCCGCCGTCTCGCTCGCCTACTTCCTCCGCTATCCGAACCCTTACTCCACTCACGTGCTTTCCACCGACACCATCGCCCGTCACTACGACCCCGACACGCAGCGTCTAACAACTATTCGCCTCCACCTGAAACGGTCAAAGCTCCCCTCAGCCGTTCTCAAGCTTGTGCCAAAGTCTCTACTTGGCGCCTCGGCTGGCGGTGAGTCCCAGACTTACATTCTTGAAAAGTCGGTCGTGGATATCAAGGAGGGGTGGATGGACACCGAGTCACGCAATCTGGAATGGACCGGTGTCTTGTCCGTCGTAGAGAGGCAGAAGTTTGTGCGTCCCTCGCCGTCAGTGTCCCAGGACATGAAGACGCGGCTGGGTACCGAAGGCGCTGCGCAACGTCATGGCTTCATCAACTTTGGCGGCAAGGGCGCTGGTGCCAAGATTGAAGACTCGGGTGAGACTACCGACGTCACAAGCTCGGTCACATTGCACAGCCACATTGGCGAGACTTGGAAAAAGAAGCGTGAAGCCGCAAGGGAGGATGCCGTCGAGGACGAGCAGCCACAAAAGATGGGTTTCTTGCGAAGCTGGGGCACCGCGGCCCTGCAGCGCAACATTGAGAAGATCGGCCTTACGCGTGCGCAGCGAAGCCAACCCAATGCGCGCGAAGGCATGAAGGTCGTCCTGGAGCGTATGCGAGAAGGCGGCCTTGTCGGGGTACTGGAGGGCATGCGACAAGACCGCGAAGCCATTCTTGCCGGCCGCCCGTTAGCGACTCCAAGGGCAATAAACAAGGACGAATAAATTGTCGGCCAGATGGTGGTCTTGGCCACTCGAACAAATGACGAGTCCCATGTTTTCGATATGAACATTCAGCGACGGCGCAACGGTCTCTCTCCCTACTTTTTTTCTTTTCGTTATCCCTTTGCTCTCAGGATTAGTTGAGGCTGGGTTCTGTGTTACTATTACGCTTCTCACGTGGTACTGTCTCTAGGTTTGGAATGATAAAAACGACATCAAAGCGACGGGCGAATCTTCTGTGTCATACGGCGAGTCTTTGCAGGCGTCATGCTTTTGCGAATCTCAATCGTACAAAAAAAAGTCTATATCGGCGCTGCTCTCTACCATAGCTCAAGTTGCAAACTTTAACATTGGTCGTTGATCTTAATTCGTTGCTGGTACCTTCCATTTGACTGTGTTGCCCACGTGGTAGTGACAGCTGGTTGCCTCTTCTGTAACGTGAACGCAACTCCAAGCAGCAACGGCCCACCTAACATCCTTCTTTTGCATTATGCTCAGTCATCTGCATTTCCTTGCGAAAGACCACCAATCCTGTTCCTATCTCAACTCGATTCCTAATCTCGAACACCTACTATCGGCATGTCCGCGCTACGAGATGTTCCAACTATACCGGATACCACAATGCGCACCTCTGATTACTTACTGCCGCCACTGTCAGATGTGGATAACTTATGGCACTCAAAAATGAATTTCTCGTACGAAGTAGCGATATCTCATCACCTCACGAACGGCTTGAGGAGTGCGATCGCTTTGAGAAAAGTTGGTCTGGCACCCTCAAAGATCAAACCCAAGAGCTCTACTAAAGGACAGCTGTAGTTTACAAAGGATACGACGCCTACCACTCCCAAGTCCGTAAACTAGACTGGCTAAAAAGTCACCACGCGTACACCGCCTCCCCCGAAGTCTCAAAACACGCCGAATGGCTCATTGAAACCCTTTACGCAATCGTCGCTCAATGGGAAGAAGTCCTACCTTATATCGCAGAGCCATATCCCATACCTCTCAATAGTCCCTCCGCGTTCTCTTTCGATGCAATTCCGGAACCACCTTCTGGAAGGGAGAGCCTGAATGTGCTACTGGAAGGCCTTGAGGGCAGAGGCAGAGCGATGATGGGTCAGACCTTCGTAAACAACGTTGATGTTCTCGCTGAGATTGATCTTCCTGGTTTCGGAACGAGACGGGTGCTGAAGTTATTCAGATTGTTTGAGGTGCAACAGCTTGCTCTACACTGTTGCTTTATTCGTAATCTCGTGTTGGGCCTGGATAAAATGGAGACTGCCTGCAGACAGCATGGGGTTATGTTTACGAGCGTAGATTCTGTGTGCTCTACGGATGGGCTGGTGAATATTGAGGGAGATGTGGTGCTGGGCCTCACTCCTCCTGTAATGGAAGGCAGCGATGGGCCTTTCGATATGAGAAACCAACCTCAGCCTTGAGCGTGCTGGGACATGGCTGTTTGACGCAAGTCCGAAGTAGAACCATAGCCGTGCGTAGAGATGTGAACATCATATGTATTGTCCTTCACATGGGTCTGTGGATACGTAGGTACGTAGGCAGATGATGATCGAGATAGGTGCGGGGTATCTACTTAGGTAGGGCCGAGCCTCAGCCTCAGCCGTCGACATCATTCGAGGTCTCATCGTCTTTGTGTTCAGCTGTGCAGTCAGCAGCTTCAATGCCAGCTTGCCCACTCAGTAATTATCTCTATTATTCCCCAGAATATCACTTTATATTCACTCCACGAAGCCATCGTTTCACGATCCTCTTCCCCTAACGTGTGTCCTCCACACACTACGGACTATCATTGTCATATTGTCTATAGACAACGTGTTCGATGATGAGCGCTAGACTTCGGGCAACATCCTAGGAAATATCCGCATACCATCTGCCTCGTTTAGCGCTTTACGATCCATAATTCTGATCATCATCACGCCACTCTACCGATTCAACTTAAAACTCTTCTTGACGAAAAATCTACCCCAGTATCTATAATGTGGACGTCGTAGGCATTCATGCATTCTCTCTGTATAGTTGCGAAACATGTATCTCATCAACACCACCACTATCAAGATTCGTCCGTTCGTCGGTATAATCCCCAAATATGTTATCCTGTCACATACCTGGGGTGACGACGAAGTTACGTTCGAAAGCATGCAAAGGCCTGATGAACGCACGAAAGCCTTGAAGGGCTACATGAAGATCAAGAGATGCTGTGAGCAAGCGAAGCAAGATGGCTATCGATGGGCCTGGGTAGATACTTGTTGCATCGACAAGAGAAGCAGTGCTGAGCTTTCAGAAGCAATTAACTCGATGTACAGGTACTACTGGGGGGCTGAGAAGTGTTACGCATATCTTACCGATGTTGGTGATAAGAACTCTGGAGACGTGAGAGACGATCTCAGCGATGTTAACAGTATCGACGTCGTATATGATTTTCAAGAATCAAGTGTCGAATTGCCATGGCCGATTCGGTCAGGGAGGGAGGTATACCAATTCCTCAACTCAAGATGGTTCAAGCGAGGCTGGACACTTCAAGAGCTTCTTGCTCCAGCAACGCTCGAGTTCTATGATCAGGAGTGGAACATGATTGGCACGAAATTCAGTTTGGCAACTTTCATCCAAATAGCCACCGAGATCCAGGCGCAGTACATTTCTGACAGAAATGCCATGAAAAGGGCAAGTATAGGACTCCGACTTAGTTGGGCATCTCAGAGGGATACTACACGAGATGAGGATCAAGCCTACTGTTTGTTCGGGATCATGGGAGTCAACATGCCGCTTCTTTACGGAGAAGGAAAGCGGGCGTTTTACAGACTGCAGGTCGAACTACTCAAGAACACAATGGATCATACCATATTCGCTTGGTCATTAGGCCCTAGTTTTGGCTTTGAACCAAAGAACCCATACCAATTCGTCGGCATCTTAGCGACAACACCAAGGGATTTCCAAAGCAAGCAATTGGCCAACATTCGGCCAGGTCTACCGCAGACGATACAAGATAGTACACACGATGTTACAAATGCAGGCCTTCGTATCGTTCTTCCTTGCGTCGCCGAAGGACCTGACACTCTCCTCGCATTGCTGAACTGTTATCACGACAAAACTGGGGGTCTTTTCGTTCGATTAAGACGACTGGAAGATCAGCGCTTTATGAGACATCAAAACTAACAAATGTTTAATACAACGTTCAGTCAAGATATAAAACTAAAAAGTAAGGAATTATGTATACTCATGGAACCAGAAACCACCTTAGGTCTCCAAAAATCTCGCTGCAGAAGAGATTGTGGAATACGCAACATGTGCATTGGTTGTTGGCAAATTGGATTTCGCAGGAACGGCAGTTGATGAGGTGGTGGCTTTTCATCGAGATCTCAGATCCAAGTCAGAACTGTGTTGGGGAGACCGTTTTGATGTGTCGCCCTTCAAATATCTACCATCACTCGATAGCGTGGGAGTGGGAATCGTCTATGGTGAAGTTAGTCTCACGATCATCTTTGGTCATCGGCATGGGAGCCCATGGTTGTATGTTGTTATACCGAGTGGGCAAGACTTGTTGTCCACGGCCTCATCAGGGCCTCGACACAGACTGAAGACGGATCCGAAATTTAGAGAACACGTCGTCAACAAAATGAGGGACCTGGAAGTAGGAATGAAAGTGGGTTTACCTTCGGAGTTTTGCCGGGACCATGCAGTCGTTTATACCGATTCGACTGATATACTTGAGGTTCAGGTCAGAAGGACGCTGGCAGACGACCAATTGCGTACCTGCTGGCAGCTAGGCGTGATAAGGCGTCTTTGATACAGGTTATATAGCACGTAGCGACAGCAATATACGACGAGTCGTTTCTACACCAAGAGATCTTGAACGACTGAAATTCAGGCAGGCAATGATATCTAGAGATACGTGTATTCAATTGGCTGATGATTCTACAGTTAGTCGATGACATGATGACGTTTAAGCATATGCCAATCTCTCCTCGGTCCACCCCGGTCTCAAGTACTCAGAGTCAAAGCTCGAGCTCCAACTGCTCTCAATAGCGTACTCCTGCACAAGCTGCACGTCGACCTGCGCACCCTCCTCAGACTGCGCCCACACACTCAGACCAATCACGTTGTCACCTGAGTAGTTGAGGATACCTGGTGGAACGGGGAACTTGATCTCGTTTCCAACATACGGGTTGAATCGCGCGTATTGGTAACCGTTGACGAAGAGCTGTGCGCGGATAGTCTTGGAGCCAACAGCGTTCAAGACGAAAGCGAAAGAGGCATCGATCTCAGCGGGGACGTCGAGAGCGATGGTGGTACGGTAGAACTTGATGTCGGCACCCTCGAAACCGGCAGATGGGGAGCCAGACTCCCAGTCAGAGTCATCAAAGCCAGGAAGATGCCATCCGAGACGCTCGGCTGTGAGACCACCCTCAGCGAGGGGTCCACGTACGGGGTCGAGGAGTTCAGTTTCACCACCGGCTTCACCAGCGATCTTCCAGGACGTGAAGTTTGCGCCTTCCAAAGTAGCACCGAGGATACCGCGGGGATCGGTAGCACCGCCACGTAGATCGTGTCCAGTGTTGTCTTGTGCGACGAGCAACACGTTGGTGCCGTTCTCGTGAAGAGTTGCATTGGCAAAGGACAAGGTCATGTTTCCGATGCCCAGGGTGGTGTTACCCAACCACGAGCCGACCAACTCGCCGTTCAACCATGCGCTCCAGCCAAAGGCGAGACCGCCCTGGACGGAAAGCTGCACACCAGTGGCTGCGCCATCAAAGTAACCGCGGAAGAGATGGAAGCTGTTGTGGAAACCGTACTCGTCCACGTAGAGGACTGGCAAAGTCTCAGGCTTGGTCGGGTTGGGAGTGGTGAGATGGTCAGCGAGAACCCATGCAGCGCCGCTGTCGTCGTATCCTGGCGTCTTCTCCGGGAGTCCTTCGTTCATCTTCCAGTTGTCCAAAGAAGGAAGGTTGATAGTGCCGTTGAAAGCAGCGACGTGGGCCTTCAAGCTGCCGTATGCTGTTCGCGAAGTTGCCAACTCTTTTCCATTCCAGGAGAGTGTGTGCGCACTGCCGGCGGCGAAGACCTCGATATCCGTACTGTTCATGATATCACCCTTGAGAGCGAGAACACCAGCATCTAGAGCTACGTGGCGGACAAGGTATGGGCCCTGAACAAGCACAGATTGGTCGACCGGCGCGAATGGGTCGTTCGACAGGTTGGGAGCCCAGAACAAGTATGCAGTAGGCTTGTCAGCAACAACAACCTTCACTCCGTTATCGAACTGGTATACGTTCATGCCAGAAACCTTCTGGATGTTAGTTGTAAGACCATGGGCTTCTGAGTGGAAAGTCGCGTTCGAGCTTGTTCCGTTGCTGACTAGAGAGCCCTTGGAGGCTCCCTTGACATGGAACTCAACAGACTCTCCAACACCAGTGGACAGTACAACGACTGGCTTCGAGTCGACCATGGCATATGTGAGAACCTCAGCGGTAGAGTAGGTGAGTGTGTTGTTGCCCATGGCGAAGTCAGTAACAAGGATCTTGGACTGATGACCATCGAGAACAATCGAACCGGCATGCTGAGGAATAGTCAAGTTTCCGACCGAAGTGCTGACGTGAAGCTTGAACGACTCCTTGGTGGCGGAAGAAGAGGTTGAGTGGATCGTAACGTAGAAGGCAGCATTTGTCAAGGGATTGCGGAGCTCACTAGCCTCAACAGCTGAGTTCGTAGTGTATGAGCTGGAGTTACCGAGACGGTTGGTGACGGTAAGATCGTCGGCAACGCGGGTGAACATGGCCAAGTTCTTAGTCTCGTAATACTTGGCGTCGATTTTACGGTTCTCGCTAATCGGACTGCTGTAGTCATAGGAAGTAGCAGTGACCGGAGCAGCTAGGGCACCCCAGTTGGTTCCTCCAAACATCATATAGAGTGAGACGGCTGTCACGCGCTGGGAGATGAGGTTGCGGTAGAAGAGGTTTGCGAAGTCAGCTCCGATGTCGCCTGGGCAGCCACCCTCTGGTCCACCCCAAGGGTTGTAAGAGCCACCCTGGAATTCTGGGAAGAAAGATGGTTGGGTTGGGGAAACCTCAACGAAATGGTCGTAGTAGTCAATGACCTGATAGGCTACGTATTCTCCGTTGGTGCCAGTGCACTCGTCAAGGTTGCAAGACCAGCAAGATGGGTAGCTGTCCAATCCAGCAACGTCAACATTGCCCACCGCGCCGGGCGCAAAGTCCTTGCTCCAGCTCTTTGTGTTCATGTTGGGGTCGTTGTGAATCAGAGGAACGTCAATACCATTGGCTCGTGCGGAGTCCTCCAGTGCTTGCATGTATCGTCCGGCAGCCGTGTTGGGAATCTTCTCTTCTCTATCATCCCACTGCTCGCCATATTCGTTCTCGATCTGATAGACAAGGGCATTGCCACCCTTGGTTACAAGATGCTTAGAAGTAAGCTCAGAAAACTTGGAGAAGTAAGGGTCCAAAGCCTGGAGATATCTTGGGTCATCATCCCGAAGCTCTCCGTAAGCACCGGTTGTGAGCCACAGCGGGAATCCTCCGGCATTGGCTTCAGCGTTGACATAAGGGCCTGGCCTGGTAATTACATACAAACCAACGCGCTCCGCAATTTCAAAGAGCTTGGTAAAGTCGTGCGCGCCGGTTTCAAAGTCCAGCGTTTGGTTGTTTGCACTGTGGTAAGCCCAGTTGCCATAGAAGGCGAAAGCCGTGAAGCCTGGCAAATGTTAGACCCGGCTAATCATGTGTGGCGAACATATTAACTTACCCGCTGCTTTGATCTTCTCCAGCAAATCTTCCCAGACCTCGTAGACGGGGATACGCCAGTAGTGAATCTCTCCCGAGAACACGAAGAGACGCTTTCCATTGACCTTGAAGGAGTAATGGTCCCACTGTACGACTTTGTTCAGGCCGTTGTCGTGAAGAGGCCAGGCACTGGGTGTGTCGTTTTGAGCATTGACACCGGTAGATGCCAACGAAGACAGGGCCGAGAGCCACGAGAGCCCTACGATGGTCTTCATTTTCGATGTAGGTTGGAGACGTCGAGGCCAATTAGCACTGGCATCATGGTATCGGACATGCTGAGAGTTTATGAACACTACGCAGGTACCGAACCCCAGTCGTCCCCGAATTACGAATAAGACGCTAATGCAGCGCTATGATGGAATGCATCGTGGGTTGCGGGGATGTCAAGGTCATCTTAATGGTGGAATTGAGATGCCCTTCTGTGAACGCTCCACCGGGTACGCCGAGGCCCGGGTAAACGTTGTTGACTTAGCATCGGAGGCGGATGGATTGCGCAGATGGGTTAGCCTCGCTGAAATGCTACATTGTTTCCGTTCTACCAAGACGAGGAACAGGAAACCGGGGAAAGAGGAGAAAGATTTGCGCGATCATGACAAGGTGTGGAGTGCTTGGAAGACGGGGGTTAGTCCAAAATGAGCTCGGTTGGCCCTCATCTCCGACATGGACCGTTCGACACCGTATCTTCGGCCTCCGCGGCGATGCATCAATCAGAGCTTCTGCTGATGAAAAGTCAAACGTCAAATTACAGAATGTATCTTTTGAGATCATACAAGCTTGTTTCCTGACAGAAAACGACGAGAAGCGGCATCAAAGCTTCGGGATAAATCCAGCCGATCAGCCGTGCTGCTTCTCCATCTTTCGTTACTACTGGTAGTTGATGAATAGGCAAAGAAAGAACCGACGCTGATGTCAAGGATCGTCCCTACTGATGTCCTTGATGCCATAAAATCAAGATTAGAATACCAGTTGAGCAGAGTGTCCATGCTACTTGGACGTCGAGCAGTTGTTACCGAGGTAAATCCAGGTGGTTGGGATAGGTGCTTTTCTGGAACGAAAGGAAAAATATCTAAAAGATCGAGGTGTTTATTTTACTTTTCTCTGCATATCGATCACAAGTGAGCACTGAACAGGATATAGCTATGTGAATAGAATACGTTGTATATGATTGATTGTTGTCTTCGTCTGAAGCTCAAGAGAAGTTTTCCCACATGAGCAGGAGCACGGACCCTAACTAAACCAGCCATCTCGAGAAGCGTGTCCGAGCATCCAGGCTTCAATCTACCACGACACGTCGTTTCGTCTGATAAATGAAAGTGCATAACTTCATAGGATATCTTATGCTGCGGCAGCTTACTCGTT